AGGAATGCCTGACTGTCCTCCCAGCCTCCTGCCCGAAGGGCTCTCTGCAAGGCACTGGAGCGCCGGGGCTAAGGCTACCGAGCTGGAGCTTTCCCTCTCGGCCACCAGCGTCTCTCCAAGCCAGAGGGAGAGCGACCCGCAGCAGCTCCCACCTAGCAGCAGACAAAGGTCACCTGAGCCGCCACCACACGGACCCTTGCACGGGGCCTCTGGCCTGGAAATTGACCAGCGCTTGCCTCCATCTCTCCAGAATGCGGATGGAGCACAAAGGCGGGGTGTGGGGGAACTGCCCCGGCACTATGGACACAGTGCGCTCACTGTCGAGTCCCCGCACGACCCAGAAATCAGCTTGCAGCCCCCACCTGGCTCTGCCTGCATGGCCAGGAAGTGACAGGCCATTAACACCTTCTCATCAGCTGACAGCTTGGGTATAACACACTGCGTGTGCTACTAAACGGGCATGGCTTAGTGGCCTAGTGGCTTCACAGCAAGCCCAAAATCCAGTAGCTCTGCTACTGATCCGTAGTGTGTCCTTAGCCAAGCCACGTTTCCCTTCCCCGCGCTGGCAACACTGTTCAGCCCGTACAGCACCTAGCGCAGCAGGCAGGGCTTTGGGTCCTCCTGTCACACCAGCTGAGGAAGTGGGTGCGTGCGCCCGCCCATCGACTAGGCACTTTCCGAGCGGCGTTACACACAGGGAAGGAGATCTGGGCCAGCCTGCACACGCTGACACGTACCTCACCCTAAGCCCCCAGTCCCGTCTATGGGGCTGCCGCTGCACTTATGTTAAGAACGAACACGGGCCTAGGCCTGGACAGACACAGCCACTGGTAGCGCTCAGAGGCAGGTAGAGAAATCCATGAGCTGGGGCTGCAGTTTGATTTGGTGCCTTTAAGCTAGTGCAAGGGCCCATGACACCTGAGCGCCAGCGACCCCCTGTGGTGTGCCGGTGTATTGCAGGCTGTTGCCCTGGGGTGGAACAAGGCCTTCCACATGACACCGCGTTCCCCAGGTGCTGACTGTTAATGCACCCAAATGGGTGCCCAGGGAGTGTCTGCAACATGACCCCAGCTCTGCAGAGCATCATGCGTCTGCTCATTCCCTCGCTGGGCCCTAGAGCAGCACCCACGGCCGGGAACTTCCTGGACTGGACGGAGTGAACTAGACGCGCGATAGGCCGGCCGTCTCCTTGGCACCAGGCGCGGCTGACCCTGCTTCCCCTCCATCCTCCTCTGGGAGACCTCTGCCAGTCAGGCCGGTGGGCGCAAAGGGGGCTGGGCCAGGTGAGTTGCGGTTCTGCCCCTGGAGTGTGTGAAATGCTGATTCCTTCACCCCCTGCAGCAAGCCCCTGCCTCTCAGACACCCACCGCTCCCTTGGCTGCGCCCAGCCCCCCGAAGGCCAAGAGCCTTGCTGTGGGGGCCCCAAAGGAGGAGCTCAGAGTCTGTAAGAGCAGTGGTGCAAACACTGGCTGGAGCCGGGCACAGCACGGCCAGGCTTCCCTCGGACAGCCCTGCCAGCAGGCCCTTACTGGCCCTGCAGCCCCTTCAGCGACGCCCACGTCCTTCCGCCCTCAGCTGCAGCCTGCCCTGCAGCGCCGCTCCCGCTCACCAGACGGGCACGTGGGTACCGCTGCCACCTGCCACCCACACTACTCCAGCGAGGCCCACGACTCACCTGCTTGCAGTGAGGACGCTGGCGCTGCTGAGGCTGGGCTCGCTGGAGGTCTCCAGGCAGCCTAGAGGAAGAGCAGAGACACTCGCTAGCCTGAAGGCAGTGGAGCCCTGGAGGGGGCAGGTCGACAGCTGTTCAGACCTTTGGAAGAGCCCAGCCCCGCTCTGCAGCAGGCACGTTACACAGCGAGGGGCCCATGGTAAACGGGGTCTCCCCGTGGCCCCGGTGCCTTCTACTGGAGGAAGGTGGCCATGTCACTTTCACTAGGACAAGCCAAAGCTATACCCCCTAGCATTTCCACGAGTCTCTGCCACCTCAGCCCACCCTGCATTGGGAGCAGCCATGCTGCTCGCCTTCCTGCTGTGGCTGGTCTGGGAGTGAAGGGCTCTTGATACCACTGGGAACGGACCCGGTTTTTGAACCACGCCGGAATAGGTGGCGAAGGGGGAATATTCCCCTTCCGGAGCAGGTTCCAGGCCCCAGGTGATTTCGCTAGGGTCACTTGGAGCAGCACAGCTGCAGATGTGCTTCCATGGCCCCCAACATGTAGCCAGGCCCAGAGGCTCAGGGACCCTCTGCCAGGCACTGCTAGTTGCATACACTGAAGCTACATCGGCAACTGAACAGAGACATGCTGGGCCGTTGCAGAGCCCAGCGCAAGAGGTTTCCCTTCCGGGCAAGGTGCAAACAAGTGAAAACTCGGCAACATCAGAGCCAGAGTCACTGGAGTGTTACAATTTAACATGAATGCACCTCTCCTCGTGGGGCTAGAAATCCCACCTAATTGTTTAATCAGTCCTCTAGAAACCTGGAAGATTAGCTCAGCACGTGGCAAAAATTGCAATGTAAAAAGTAAGCCTTGCTCTTGCATTGGCCGGGAATCGAACCCGGGCCTCCCGCGTGGCAGGCGAGAATTCTACCACTGAACCACCAATGCTGCAGCTGCAGAGAGCTGCTTCTCCAGCTGCTTGTTCATGCTGCACACATGGCACCAGACAGAAGGTATCTGGTTACAGCCCTGCTTTGGGAACCGGTCATTCTGGCCTTGCCTTTCTGAACCCTCGCACCAGCCCCTGTGGAAGCAAGAGAACCCCCGGGCTCCTCATTTCACTGTCTCGCCCTTTAATGGAGGAGCCACTTCACTTCCCTGCAGGCCGTTTGCAGAAGTGCTTGCTCAGACCAGGCTGAAGGAACAGGAGGAGTCCCCGCAAGCCAGGATCCCTGCATTCCTCCGGGGAAGCCAGGGACAGTCTAGGAGGTGGCTATCAGGTAACAGCAAGTCTGACTGAGCCACAAGAAACACCTGGGAGCACACAGGAGCCAGGTCACCGTCCTGAGGGGACAAAAGCTGCATGTGCCAACAGCAGAGGTTACTGAGGGGGAGGAGAGCACCCAGTGCATGGAAAAGGGGTCACGCACCTGCTCTGTCAAGAGGTGTTCCTGAGATCTAGTCCAGCCAGGCATGCACAGCTGGCAAAGTGGGGGGCCGTGGAGCCCCCGGTGCAGCGATCTACCTACCACCTGCCAACCCGACTGCCCCTCGGCTCCTTCTTGCCAGCTGCTGCGACAGAGGGGAGCGGAGGGTGGGTATGGAACAGGTATGAGCAACGTGAGCCCCTGCTCTGTTCGCTCCCTCTGGGGCTCCTGGCACTGGCCACTGCAGGCAGACCTTTGGTCTGACCCAGCCTGGCTGCTCTTCTGTGCAGCCCCCCTGCAAAGGCCCAGCCATCTCGCCTACTACCCTGCCCTGCCGCCAACCCTCTAGCAGGTAGTGCCAGGGCCCGCTGTGGCTGGACGGGGACGCAGATGCTTCAGCCCATGACTTGCATGGCCCAGGGGGTGCAGAGACAGAGTGCAGCCGGATGGACTGATCTGCCCGACACACTCACACCTACTAAACGGGCCCCATGCTGCACCTTGCAGGGGCTGGGGCTCCGCCAGGCCTGGCCCAGGTTCCCTCAGGCAGCCATGGGCTGGAGAGGGGAGGCCAAGATGGAAAGGGACTCACCCCCGGGTGCCCCCTCCTGCTGGGAGAGGGACTCCTCCTCGGGCTCCGTCTGGAGGCTCGGGGATTGCTTGCCCTCATCTGTTTCGTCGTCTTCCGGGATGACCAGCTTCATCAGGCCCTGGTTACACACGTTGGCCACCTCTTTGATGCCTGGGCAGAGGGTGTAAGGAACACGCCGAGGCAAGATGCGTAGACCCGCGGTGCAGCAGGAACCCAGGAGACATCAGTACCACGCTCTGCCCTGCTGCCCCCGTACGCGACACGGCCTGACGCTGCCCACCCTCCTGGGCAAGGGTGGAGGGAACCACGCATATGCAGCCGGGTGCGCAGCAGTGCAATGCACTGTGTCCGGTGACGTGCGCTCACGTGCCCGGGAGGCGGGGCAGCTCATCCCACTTGCAGGCAGTACCTGAAGGGGACACGAGCGTCACTATAGGAAGGGGCTGTTCCGGGCTCCAGAAAGGGGGATTTTACTGACACCCAGGGGCAGCCACGGGTGCCCAGGGAGAAATAACGAACCTGCTCGGGTTCCCCTCCTTCCCAGACCTGGCTATGTCCCTGAAAGCCCCGTGGAGCGGACGTTTCATCCCACCCCTCCATTGAACCGTCTCTGCCCAGGACAGCTGGGATCAGCTCCCCAAGGAGCATTGCCTGTGCCCCAGAACACTGGAACTGGAAGGGACCTCGAGAAGTCAAGTCCAGTCCCCTGCCCTCCCAGCAGGACCCAGCACCGTCTAGACCAGCCCTGGCAGATGCTTATCTAAACTGCTCTTAAATATAGTCAGTGACGGAGATTCTGTAACTTCCTTAGACAATCCATTCCAGGGCTTAACCCCCGACAGGAAGGTTTTCCTGTCCAACCTAAACCTCCCTTGCTGCAGTGTAAGCCCATTGCTTCTTGTCCTGTCCTCAGAGGCCAAGGAGAACAATTTTCTCCCTCCTCCTTGTAACACCCTTTTAGATACTTGAAAACCGCTCTCATGTCCCCTCTCAATCTACTCCTTTCCAAACTAAACAAGCCCAGTTCCTTCCGTCATCCCTCACAGCTCATGCTCTCTAGACCTCCTCGGTCATCTCCTTTCCAAACTAAACGAGTCCCGTTCTTTCAGCCTTGCCTCAGAGGTTCCTAGACCTCTCCAATTTCTCCACATCTTTCCTGAAATGCGGTGCCCAGAACTGGACAATACTCCAGCTGAGGCCTGATCAGCGCCGAGCAGAGTGGAAGAACGACTCCTCGTGTCTTGCTCACAGCACTCCTGTTAATACAGCCCAGAATCAGGTTTGCCTTTTTGCAACAGTGTCACACTATTGACTCCTGCCATGCTCCTTCCTAGACAGTCGCTTCCCATTCCGCGTGTGTGAAACTGACTGTTCCTTCCTAAGTGGAGCACTTTGCATTGGTCCTTATTGAACTTCATCCTGTTGACCTCCGACCATTTCTCCAGTTTGTCCAGATCATTTGGAATTCTGACCCTGTCCTCCAGAGCACTCGCCACCCCTCCCAGCTCGGGATCATGTGCAAACGGGATAAGCGTCCTCTCTAGGCCAAAGCTGCTGATGTGGGTATGGAACAGAAGGAGCCCAACACAGACCCCTGAGGAACCCCCCCAAGCTGCGCAGGCTCGGTGGCAGCTGTCTGGCCAGTGACACTGGGCGTGGCAGCAGAGCCTGAGTAAGGAGGATACTCTTCTTTCGGTCATCGTAGGACAGGCACGGCAACACGGCCGTCAGGATCCCTGAGGAGTAGGGCAGCATCACCCGGCCGGCCAGCTGGATGAATTCCCTCATCCAGCACATGGCTGTCAGCTGAATCAGATCATCTGGAAGACAGGCCCAAGGAGAGAGGAGGAAGCAGGTGGCTCCAGAACGGATCAGACTCAACGGAGTAAGCGACATGCACAACGAGACGTGAACGGGCTCCTGGCTTCGGTTTCAGCAGCGTGGCCAGCGCCGGGCGCCCGCCCGAAGCCCCAAATAGCCAGAGGCTGAAAATGCCGAGTGATGCACATGCTCGCTAGGCTGCAGAGCGAGCCCCACGGCCTCTCATGGGAACGGTGCAGGCACCATTTACCCATTCGCAGCACCCTCCACCCCCCGGCGTTTGTACACCGAAGTCACCAGCCCACAGCGAGGCCCTCGTGGGCTCCACGTCCCTCCCTCCTCCCGAGGCTGCTCGGGGATTTACGGCTCGGCCCCCCCGCTCGACCGCAGAGTAGCGGCTGCCCAGGCCTGTTTGCAAGCGCAGGCAGACAGCACCGCCTGGCTCCCGCTCAGGGGCCCTGCAGCCACGGGGCCAGGGAAGGCTCTGTAAAGAAAATCCTGAAGAAACGAATGGGGCAGCGGAAAGGTGAGAGCTGGTATGAGGGGCCAGCTGGAGCGCCTCGCCCAGCTGCCCCCTTGCTCCCCGTGGCCTCCACACTGGCGTTTGCCCTGATCCAGCCACCCGCTCGCCAGCACTCGGGTGGGAACAGCCCCTATGTGCACAACCCGCGCCACTCGTGGCTTGTACGTGCACCCTGTCTGCTCCCCTGAAAGCAGGGTCAGTCGCTCAGGCCTGCGCCCGCCAAGCCGCCCCCGTCTTGTCAGTGCCCATTGAGACGGGGGAACTCAACAGGACTCGCGGGCGCAGAAGAATCCAGAGTTTAAAGAGCTACAGTCAGTTCCAATGGCCGCGAGCGGGGCCCCAGTCTGCACCATGCAAAGGGGGGAAGAGATGCCACTTAGGTGCAGACAAGGCCTCTCAGAATGCCAAGGCTGGCTGGCTGCGTCCGTCTGTCTCTACATGGCCCATGGACGTGGGTGGCATGTGGCTGAGACAAGCGTGCAGTAGATTTCAGAGCTGGCAGTAGCTGTTGAGTTCATCCGGGTTTTCAGCAGGCTCCCTGGACTCATTCAAACAAAGCCCAGCAGGAAACCTTTCAGGTGTGCAGCTCACCCTCCCTTTGGAAACAGCCGCAGTCCACGGCCTGGCGCTGGCTCAGCCATGAGCAAACAGTGCTCTAAACCGAAAGCCGTGCCGGCGCGGGGACTGTGCCTGTTCGCTCCGGGCTCATGCAGGAAAACTGCCCTCTACCATTAACAGACTTCTGCCCTTGGGTCACAGTCGCAGTGACTCTGGCTGGTCCCCAAGCTCCAGCCAACGCGCTGGGCTTTGCACACTCACCAGAGGCTTGACAGTGAATCACCAGAATATTGGCCATTTCTGCAAATTTGACGCTGGAAGGATTCTTCTTGATCTCTTTAAGGAACTCGCCGAGGGCCACCTCGCACCTGCAGGGCAGGACAGCCAGTGAGAGACCCATTCTCAGCCACCCCCCCGGGCCCTGCCAACCGAGCCCAGGCACCGGGAGCAACACGCGCAGCCTCACTGCAGCTGCCTTGTCCCCAGCTGCGTCCCAGCGGGCTCCAGGGGCTCCGGGCCCAGCAGCCACAGGACCCACCAGCACTGGCGTCAGCTGCACACAGCGGCTGCGGCCCCACCCCATTTCTGAGCTGGAGCATTTCACTCTCGATGCCTGCCCCCAGGGGGCCGGGTCCACAGCACCCCCAGCCCAGGCTCGAGCGAGTCAGGGCTGCCCTAGACCTCGCGCCTACGGCGCTTGCAAGCTGGGGGTGCGGAGGCCACCGCTTTGCTCTTCCAAGCCCTGCCCTCCCGGCGGGCCGGAATTCAGCCCTTCAAGTGTGGGAGCTGCTGCTCCGCGGCCAGAGCCGCCTGACAGGGCTAGAGAAGTGCCCCGCTCCCTGAGGCGCCTTGCCATGCAGAGCCCTTCGTCCTCCTCACGGAGCGGCTTTTGGCCAGCGGAAGAGGCCGTTAGCAAGGGCAGACGGTACCGCTTCACCCAGCCCCAGGAAAGGCGATCTGCGCAGCCCCGCCAGCCCCACTCACATCTTCCGGATCTCTTTGCTGTTGTCTCCCAGGATCTGGAAGAGTCCGTCCAGGATCTCCGGCAGGTAATCCAGGAGATTAATGTCAGGCACCGACTCCAGCACAAGGATCTAGCTCAAGGAAGACAAGAGACCTGCTGAGTTTCAGAGAAGACTAAACTAACCCAACCAACCACCCCACAGAATGGCTTTGTCTAGGAGCATGTAACATTGGGTCTGTAAAGGGCCTGGCTGCCGGAGCGGGGCTGCTGGGCTAGATGGCCCAACGGGCTTCCATCGCAGGGGCAGGGCCAATTCCACCCAGCCCAGCCACAAGCCTGCCCCACGATGAAAGAGGCGCTGATCCACCCTCCCACACTGGGGGAGTCGTCTGCTCTCGTACTGCGCACGTACAAAGCTCAACACAAGTCAGTGCAGGGTGAGCTCAGCAGCCACCACCTCTGGCCAGGAAATAAGCCAGGTGAGTCAACCTTCTCGGGGCCAGGCGCGCAGGGCCTCGCGGTGGGAGAGCTTCGCGGGGGACAGGAGCTCGACAGCCCCGGGCGAGAGCTGGGACCCCTTGCTAGCGCCACAGCCATGGAGCTGACGGCACAGGCACTTACCCAGGAGATGATGAACTGCCGGGCGTACTGGTTGTTGGAATAAATCCGCTCCCGCAGCAGCGGGATGAAACCCACCAGGTCAAACTTGTTACTCTCAGTCACGATGTCCTAGGAGACAAAGAGGTCAGAGCTGTGGCATGGCCTGGCCCCACAGCGCGCAGACCTACCTCCAGCGCAGGCACCAAGTGCCCACTCTCTGTTTAGCCAGGGGGCTAGACACGTCTTAGAAGGTTCAAAGCACCCACAGAGGATGAGGCTACAACCAGCCTGCTCCCAGCACAGTGATGACTCAGCTCCAGGCCCTCGAGCACAGGGCCGCGGCTTTGTCCCGGATGGTCAGCGCCTCAGGCAGCAGCCAGCACGGCTTCCACACTGGCACGGTCCTGAACACGGCCGCGGGGGGAGGCGTTCCTCATTCACACACTGCGCAGCTCAGGCACCGCAGCACGTGACCGGAGAACCAGTGACGTGTCCTAACTCACTGTTACGCTGCCCCACTATGGTCTCCTGCTCCAGACTTATGGGACAGGAGAGCACGGACTCTGCACCACGCCAAGCACTGGGCCGGCCAGGGGCCCGCGGGGCCGACGAGCGTGGAGGACACAGGAGCAGGAAGCATTTGGAGGCTGGTGCAGGCAGGAACCACAGGAACGCAGCCGACAGCTCCTACATGAGACAGCAGCTTTGGCTCTGCTGACAGAGCAGCCCCGCTCACGTGCTGGGACAAGGAGCCCAGGCGAGACACACCGAAGGGAGAGCCCCCCCGCTCGCAGTAGGGGTGTGACCGGGTACGCGGTTACCGATGCGTTTCTCGGGACAGTCCCCTCTTCGGGCGGAGGGTTGCTCCAGCCCGCGGGTCAGGAGCTGGCAGCTCAGCACGGAGCCAGAGGAAGCTGGGCTGGAGCAGCCCTTGCCTGTGGTGGGGGGGCCGCCCACCCCCATTTAATCAGTTAACGTTTCACTAGCGAGGGGATTTTACATCCCAACTCTGCAGGCTGGCGAGGGAGATGCACCGTAGCGATCCCACTGGAGCCTTCCCCTGGGGCAGCAAGGGGGGGCAGTGCACCTACAAGCTTTCCACGAATGCCCACCCACTGCTGGGCCTAAGACAGCCCCTCCTTCCCCCGGCACATGAAGCCTCAGCACGCACGTGGCCGCGAAGCAACAGCTCATCCCCCAGAGCAGCAGCCATTGGGAAAGCCGCAGGTGCAGCTGCGACGTACTGGCTGTACCGCCCCCGGGAAGGTAACGGATGTGTAGCTCCTCTGCCCGCCCGCTCAGGGAAGGGAACTGGGAATTACCTTGAGAAGGCGGTCCAGGAGTTCAGAGCCGCTCTTCACATTTGGGTCCGGATCAGCAGAAAGCTGCAAATTACAAAATCAGACCACCTCAGGTTCCAGGGTCCCCCAGGGGATGTGTACTGGCTTCCCAGCAGTGCCAAGGGGTGAGAAGACACCCCTGCCACTTGCCTGGGTGAAATCAACCGATTGCTGGCCAGCGGTTCCTTCCAGACGAGGAGCGGAGTGAGTCTGCAGGGGAGGGCTGCATGCGAACCAGGCTCTGCCTCCCCGAGCCGAGGCGTGAGCCAAGCAGAAAGTGGATACAGCCTGGCCAGAAGTGCCTGAACTCCACTTCCCTGCTGCTACCTTCAGCCCAGCTCTTCTCCCGGGGAGCGTGGGCAGCAGCCTAAGCCTTCTGCAAAGACTACTACAGCCGCGGGACCAAGGGGCCCATAGCCAGCCCACCCTGCTGGCAGGAGGGAGCTAGTGGGGTGCCACTCTGCCTTCCCGGGGCAGGCGGGTTACCTTACTCAAGCCGTCAAACAGCACATTGAAGTGTGGGAGGACAGAGCCCCTGGCCACCTTGACGATGTTGTACAGGGCCTCGCAGGCATAGTACCGCAGGCGGCTGTCAGCGTCATTGAAGCACGTCAGCACCGGCTCAATCAGCTCCTTCAGGTACAGCCCCGAATCCTGAGGGCAGAGCAAAGCTGGGTCAGGGCCGGAATGGACTGGCCTCTGGGGCGGGCGCCACGCAACGGGGCACCGGGACACGGCCACAGGTGGCATCCAGATCACAACAAAGCCGAACCCTGATTTATGGCAGTGCTAATCACACGGCGGAGCAGACTAGCCACTGCAATGCATTACAGGGATGGGATCATGTCTTACATTTCAGTTACAACAGAGCAAGGTCTGCAGTGCTCACTAGTGTTGCTTATTACAAAGATTTTAACTGAAAAGAAGACAAAGCAAAGAAACAGAATCTTTTCATTTCACCTCACAGGAGCACTGCAGTGTGATCCCTGCTGTGATAATCCACATTTGTGAATTGCACTGTCCCATGCCCACACTCAAAGCCAAACCAACACACAACTTCAGAGCCGACAAGCCCACTCCTAGTCTCACTCGCTAACTGCTCAGTTAGCGCTGCCTGCTAGTCTAGCTGTTGTTGTTGAAGTTTTGCCTTTTGCAGACTAACTTGGTAACCGCTCTGATGCTTATTTACAATGTCACCTGAAGGCGAGACCTGGCATTCGCATGGTACCGCTGGAGCAGGGACCACAAGGTATTCCCATGCCAGAGATGCTACCTACTCGAATGCCTCTTTGTGCTGCAGCCACCACTCCAGGGGACATGCTGATAATGCTCATTAAAATCTATATTAATTACACGTGACTCACTCCCTGCGGGAGCGTACGCCTCCTGCTGCCTTGTGCCTGCATCCCACGCTACATCGCTCTCGGGCGATGACCCGGCACACCTTGCGTGAAGAACACTGGCACAGCAGATATGACAAAGCGCAAAGGGGGCGCAAACATGAGCCAGAGCACTCGCGCCAAGGTGTTGTTTCTGAATGTGGGGTGTGTGTGTGAACGGACATAACTCTACTTCCATGAATGAAAGGTTGCACTACAGTACTTGGAATGAAAGCGCCGGTCACTGTGTATTCTGTGTTATAACTGCAATATAACTGAAGATATAGAAAACATCAAAAATGTTCTTATTGTTTAAAAGTACAATTAATTGCAGCATTAATTTCAATCACACTATTAATTGCAATTAATTTTTAATTGCTCGACAGCCCTACTCAGAAGTTACTTAACTGCATCCGGCAAAAGATTTCCATAACACTTAAGAGAACGTTCTAATTTGTGTACGTTGGGGTCACTTACCCCAGTAGCGCACAGCAAATGGAAGATTTTAGTTAAATCTGTGTCCTTTCGCAGCTCTGCTGAAAAAAATCAAGATCTCGGGGTTGCAGATGAGCAGTGTTTTTAGAGAGAGCAGCGAAAGGGCAGAATTTTAATAAAAGCATTTCGAATGTGGAATATCACCCAGCAGCGTTGCGTATGATTTCAGGGCAATTGACCATTAACTGAGCCTGGACCCTCCATAGCCGGTGCGCGTTTTAGCAGATTAGTGACTTGCTGTCATTGGAGGGGAATTAAAATCGTTCCGCGTGATCTGACCCAGGGCTAGCTCGTCTCCAGAGTGGTGCTCTGCAGCAGGAGGCAGAATGAGGCGCTACACCCAGATCACCTTTCATCAAGACATTTTGGAGAACGAAAGACGCGTCTGCGCCACAGCCCAGTGTGACTGCAGCCTGTGGACGAGGCTGTTCCTGCACAAGCGTCCCAAAAGCTGGACCCTGCACCCTGGGGCAGTGCTCATATGGGAGTAAGGAAAGGGGGACAGGCCCTCCCTCTGAGCAGAGGCCTGTCACATCCGTGTGACAATCAGGCGTCAGTGCGGCAACACAGCACCGGGCTGCGCCTGCTTCAGCGACTACCACGTGAAGTCCTACTCTAAAGCACAAAGGGAAGTGCTGCGTGAATCGATGCAACAGTTTAACCTTGTCTGTGCAGCCCAACATGGCTTGGATAGCCCCTGACTAGGGCTGGCCTGTATTTAGCTGTGTGCTGGCCTGGGTATGCCACAATCAGCAGAGCCCTGTGCAGACAAAACTCATATCTGCACCTGTGGACTGCGGATGCCATGGCTATGAAGCAGATATCTGTGGATTTGCAGGGCTCTACCAATGAGCTCCTTGCCGTGGGATGGTGCAGGGCTATGTTCTGCCACACACACAGAACTAGCATTTACTTGATCCACAAAGAGCATTTCCCTGCCATATCTCCCAAAGCCCAGGCAATGCTCAAATGCCTGCTAAGCTCCCAGACCCGATCCCACAGCTCCAGCACCTGGCAGAGTTCGTGGCTTCTGCCTGGATCACCTCTTGAGGAGCAGAGTAACATCTGCTGCCTGTCCAGACATGGCCAGAGCTCAGTCTCCTTAGGCATGGCTTTTGCCATTTCTGCTCACACCCTGGCCCGGCCCAACACCAGCGTTCACGTCCATTCTCTCCGTTACCAGTTCAGCTGAGCGTTTCCACAGCAGCGCCTGCGCCCAATGCAGGGCTAGGGTGCACAGCCCGCCGGGATCCACCACTGGGGCGGACGCTCACAGCTGACAGTGACAGGCGGAGCCCAAGGCTGGGGACCCTACCTTCCCGAGGGCAATGGAGCAGGCTGCCAGGCCGATGAGCCCCCCTTTCCTGCTGTGCGGGTGCTGCGAGAGAGCAAACTCCTGCGACAGGATCTGGATCACATGCTTGATCTGCGCCGCGTTGTTCTGAGCCACGAACTCTCGCACCAACCTAGCGGAGGGCAGAGCAGGAAGCTTTAGCGTCTGTACGAGGCAACATCTTGGTGGGCTCCCACAAGGCACGAGACGCCAGCTCAGTGACAGTAGCCCTGGCCACTGGAGTGGGTTACAGCCAGAGCGCGGGAGTTAGGACACAGAGAGGGAGCAGGAGCAGCATCCCAGTGCGTCTCGCTGTGAGCCTCCTCCTTGCTCCCAACTTGGCATTAAGCTTTTAAGGGGGCTTCCCAACCGGGCCAAGATCCCACATGCGGCCTCCAGGCAGCGGAGTTTTGGCAAAATTGGGGGGAGGTGAACATGGGCTACAGGTGAAGCTTCCCCAGAGGGAAAGCAGCAGCTCTCCAGAGCTTTACTGGCCAGTGCACACAGACCTCTGCAGGAGCTTTCTCCTCGCCGCTCGGCGTAGCGGCCCTGCCTTCGCTGCTCCGATTCAGAGCCGAGCTGGAGGAACTGTTTAGCAGCCCACAGGCCAGCTCCAAAGCAGTTCACCAAAGTCCCAAGTTCAAAGCTTGCCTGAGCCTCCTCAAACAACTTCCAGTTGGCGCAGAGGTTTTTAGAGAAGAGCTTGGAAGAGAAGGACCCTTGGCTGTGGGCAGGGGTAAGAGCCGTATTATCAGAGCAGAAGAGGAGGTGCACACAGTGCCTTACAGGAGTGAAATCTGTGCTTTCCAGAAAGGAACAGCATTTTCCTCGCTGGAAACTCCCCCTTGCAGGCCAGGCAGGGCACGTTCCTCCCACAGCCGAGGAACTCCCCAGTCCCCCAGACGGACACTCACCCATGGTCCCCAGCCTGCTTCTACTGCATGAGTACAAAGGCCATTTCTAAGAGACTGGTCAGTTGGCTGGCTGGGGGAAACACCCAGCAAGGGAGTGCTCACCGGGAGGTTCACGTGAAATCCCTAAGGCTTTGCCTACACTAGCGCTGCAAAAAGCACCACTCCCCTAGCCAACAACGGCACCAGCGTGAGCATCTGCGGCGGAAAAACCTGCCCCCGCTTGCGGGACACAGAGCGGCTCCACCGGCGCCTTGCAGCGAGGCACGACGGCAGCCATACAGCTGTGCCATGGTACAGTCTGCAGCGCAGACACCGCCCAGGCTGTGAGTGGAACCCGCAGTAACCTCTCAAGGGAGCTCTCCCGCCCTAGCCAACAACGGCACCAGCGTGAGCATCTGCGGCGGAAAAACCTGCCCCCGCTTGCGGGACACAGAGCGGCTCCACCGGCGCCTTGCAGCGAGGCACGACGGCAGCCATACAGCTGTGCCATGGTACAGTCTGCAGCGCAGACACCGCCCAGGCTGTGAGTGGAACCCGCAGTAACCTCTCAAGGGAGCTCTCCCGCCTCACTCGCGCTCTATCTGTCTACATTGCGGCAGTGCGCCGCACGGCCTCCTCACCCCCACAAGACACTCTCCTGCCGGCCTCGCTTTGTCCACCCTGGCACTTTTCTCGGTCCGGGGGTGCTCTCATGCAGTGCTTCCCTTTTTTCCTGGTCCCAGAGTTCAAGCAGTTCTTGCTTTGCACTCTCTGCTCTCCATGCTGCATGTGAAAGGAGGATGCTAACAAATTGGAGAAGTTGCAGTGCAGAGCCACAGGAACGATTACAATATTAGAAAACAAACCTTAAAGCGACAGACTCAAGGAGTTCAGTCTTCGTAGCTTAGCAAACAGAAGGTTTATGGCTAACTTGACTACAGCCTAAAAGTACCTAAAAGAAGAAATATTTCCTATACTCTGCAAACTAGCAGGGGAAATGTCTAACACGGTCCAGTGGCTGGGAGTTGAAGCGAGACAAATCTGACCTGGAAATAATGCGCCAATGTTTAACCCTGCGCGCCATTAACCATGGGAACAATGTAACAAGGGTTGCAGTAGATTCTCCTTCACTGACAATCTTTAAACCTCTGACCCGCCCTCAACTGAAGTACTGTGTCCCATTTCAGGCGCCATGTTTCAGGAAAGATGTGGACAAACTGGAGAAAGTCCACAGAACAGCAACAAAAATGATTTAAAATCTAGAAAACATGAGCTATGAAGAAAGACTGAAGAATTAGGATTGTTCAGTTTGGAAAGGCGAAGACTGAGAGGGGACATGAGAGCAGCTTTCAAGTACCTAAAAGGGTGTCACAAGGATGAGAGAAAAAAATATTCTCCTTAACCTCTGAGGACAGGACAAGCAGCAATGGGCTTAAACTGCAGCAGGGGAGGTTTAGGTTGGACATTAGGGAACACTTCCTGTCAGGGTGGTGAAGCACTGGAATAAGTTGCCTGTGGAGGTGGCAGAATCGCTATTACTAGAGATTTTTACGAACAGGTTAGACAAATGACTAACAGACAATGCTCCCCCTTATATTTTCCATTCATGTGTGGAATACATTTTTCTATGTTCACTGAAGCCCGTGTGAATGTGCACCACCTGTACAAACAAAAACCTGGCTGTGCGTGCTCTGTTAATCAGCTGGGCTGCATGTGAATGTCTCCTGAGAAGCCACACACGTGCACACAGAGAACCCTGGGCACAGCTCAGCAAGGTGGCACTTGGTCCTGGCATGAGTGGAAGGGAATGCCTAATGCTGATTCCCAGTCTTGCACAATTTCCTGCGCATGAGGCTGCCTTCCTTCAGGACTGCTAGGAACCTTCCACCTCCCCAGCCTCGTCTTGTGTGCGCGCTCTGGCCTCGCCCTTCTGCTGGGTCCAGTGGCCATGGGGGTGGCCAACAGCTCTGTGGCCCATTTCCAGGGTAAAAGGGAACTTCTGCATGCACAATATTAAAATCTGCAAAATTCTGCAGTGCACAGAAGCGCAGAATTCTCCCAGGAGTAAGATTTAGCTATGGGGCCCCCTTCTGTCTTTCAAAATGCCAGGTTCTTTCTAGGGACGTTAAGTGACTAGCAATCTAGTCAGCTAGCCGATAAGCAGGTTATTGGATAGTCACCCCCACCCCTGTTGCTGCTTCTCTCAGAGAGAGGCAGCAAGGAGGCAAGAGCTGGTGCTGGGGAAGTAGAGGCACAGCTGGAAACGGCACGAGCAGGGACTGAAGCAGCCTCCGCTTGAGCGGCTTCTGCTGTGATTCTGTTTTGATATGTACAAGAGCCCCAGTGGCTCAGGCGAGGCAGGAAGCTTGGAGCCCCACTGCTGCTATAGGTCAAAGGCGGAGGTGTCCTTACAGACTAATCAAATAGTTAGTGGAAATTCCATTGACTAGTTGATTAGTTAATTAATGGAAATTGAACACCCCTAGTTCTTACAACCCAGTGAAAGTTGTTTGAGCTCTTTGCAGTGTTGCTACCTGACACTTGAGACTGCCTGTCAGCACAGGCTGCCTCTGAATTATGCAGGCTTCAGAGACAGAGTTCACCACTGACAGAGATTGTGGCAGTTGTGAATTATTAAGTGTGCTGCTGCAAACAAGTTCTTGGAAGATCATTACCTAGGCCTGCGATATCAAATCCCACACACTGCAACAGCTGGAAGGGTTGAGCAAGCGAGCAAAAAGGGCACACGGGGTAGGGAATAAAGCTATGTGTGAGAGCACGAAGAAAGCTTATACTGGAGTAAGTAGAGTGGGCAGCAGAGGACCTATTTGAAATCATGGGATGGTGGGCCGGCGGAGCCCGCCCACCTTCTAAAAGCCCCTCCCCAACCTTATGGGAGGGACACTGGACCCATGTTCAACTGATTGCTTGGGACAAATAATGACTAAAGGATCAAGAAGTGCGGGCTAGAGGTTCAAAATAAGGGAGCCGGATGGGGACACCGAGCAGAGAACCCCGGACAGCGCCCACTGCTCCTCAAAGCTGTCGATGGAGCCAGTGGACGCCGCCCAGAGGAACTCTGCCCGGATTCATGAGACGAGGGAGGAGCGGAAATAGGCCCCACAGTCGCAGAGAACCCCCTCGTCTAGCATCCTCCTCCTGCTGTTGTAGATGGCAGCTTTCGCCAAGGCCAGGAGGAGGTTGACGAGGAGGTCTCGCGACTTTGTGAGCAGCAAAGGGGGAAGGGCAGCCCGCCACTCTGCTTGCGGCTTTGGCTACCGTCTGAGAACCTACAGCCCGGTCAGGGCAGGACAGAGCCTCCCCGGAAAGAGCTAGCTGTTGTCCAGTTCTGTCCACCGCTGGTGTTAGAAAAGTCCTGCCAAAGGGGAGGCGATCACAGAAGTGCAGCACAAGTGATCAAGAGGGAGCAAGGAAAGCTTCAAAGCCAAATGGATGTCCTTCGGAAAAGGGAAACATTGGGAAGAAGTCAGAATACAAATGTTTGATGGGTACAAACATCAAGTCCCAGGAGGAATGAGTTAATCTGATGCCGGGGGCTACAGAGAAGAGCAATGGGAATCTCTGAAATGGGATTTCATGACGTCTTGTAGTTTCCATGCTCACCATGACTCATGATTTTATCAGATAATCTAGGAGTAGAGGCTATTTCAAAACAACGTACATTCTAGAGATTTAGGATTTACTGCTATTAATACTAACAAGACATCTTTAAAACTCATGTTGGCCTTATAATAGTACATTTAGTGCAAGATGTAGCTACAAGAAGGTAAATGTTAAGACTATATAGAATCATAGAACACTAGAATTGGAAAGGGACATTCAGAGCTCATGGGCTACGTCTACACTGGCCCCTTCTTTTTGGGAAAAGCCGGAAAAAAGCGTCTAGACTGGCCCGATCCTCCGGAATAAAGCCCTATTCCGGAGGATCTCTTATTCCTACTTCAAAGCCGGAAAAAAAGCGGCAGCCATGTTTATTTAAATCCCGCGGGGGATATTTAAATCCCCCGTGGATTTCCCTATTCCCACTTTCAAAATTAGCATGCCCCTTCCGAAGAAGGGGCCAGTGTAGACATAGCCATGGAGTCCAGTCCCCTGCCCTCACAGGAAAATGTCCCTGATAGTGAAATGTCTAAGGGCTGTGGAACAGTTTCCCCAGGGAAGCAGTTGATACTTCCATTAGTTGGAATTTAAAAACTCCCCTTGTTTTATCAAGGAAGGATGGTTTTGTAATTGAGGCATTTGACTGTTACTCAGGCCATCTGGGGATACCCACAATTCCTACCTTGCTTTCTGCCATGTACTTCCAGTATGATCCTGGGCAAATCATTTAATTAGTCCATGCTTCAGTTCTCTATCTGTACCATGTGGATGACAATAATACTTCCTTTCTCCCACTCTCAGTGTTTTGTATTCAGAGTATAAACTTTTCAGGGTCAAGATTGTATGTTCATACAGTTCCTTGCAAAATGAATTGCTTTGCACCTCCAGGTGCAACTGTGACAGAAATAATAAATGTGTCCATGAAATCTTTCATAGCTTCAATGCTCACCATGACTCATGATTTTATCAGATAAGTCTGGTAGTAGAGGCTATTTCAAAACCAAGTACATTCTAGAGATTTAGGCCATATTGCTATTAATACCAACAACACAAATTTAAAACTCATTTTGGCCTTATAATAATGCATTTAGTGGAAAATGTAACTTCCAGAAGAAAATTAGTTATTCGATAAAATGACAGTTTTTCACAGTCTGGCATTCAGCGCTCATTCTGTGTCCTTAGAGAAGCCTTTTTTAGCATGACAGCATGCAGCAGAGGAAAGAAGACTGGACAAAATGAGAACCCAAGTCACCATTTGTACATAACATTTTACACTTCTGTCAGATCTCAGCCAAAAACCCGGAAGAAATGTTTATGACACCCCTGCAGCCCCCTAACTTTAAAACAGTTTAATTACCAGTCAAACGTGCACCGTGAAAAAGGAAGCTATCAGCTCTGTGTTCTTGGGAAACCAAGGCCCAGTCTCCAGCCTGTCTGACTCATGAAGTACTTCCCATTGCTCAGCTGAGCAAGTGGGCTGTGCCCACGAAAGCTCATGATACTGGACGTATTGTTAGCCTCTAAGGTGCTGCAGGCCCACTCGCTGTTTCTACAGCCACAGACTCATATGGCTACCCACACAGACAATCAGAAGACAGACTTACAAGAGGCAATGTGAAGGCAGCGAGAGACTCACCTAAGCCCCTCCCCAACAAAGGTGACAGGATTAAGGCAACTCCCCGTGCCTCATACCAGGGAAGACCAGAAAAGCACTCCCATTAGCATTCAGAACAGAGATTCCAAGGCCAAGAACAGTTCCACGCAGGGAAGCAGGGCAGCACTGCACGATGGGGCAACTGCTGCTCCAGATGCTAATGAGCCTACGCCGGCACACACTCAGCTGTGTGGTTATCCAGACCAATTCTAGTAACAAATCCTTTATTGGTGCCCAAAACACAGAAGCGGTGTAACTGAGCTGGGAACTCCCTTGAAAGACCACCATCCACAGCCAGGAAGGACCAGCTACTATTGTCTAGCCTCAGCAAAACAACTTGGGGTTGCTTCCTTGAGCCTTCAGGAAACAAATCTAGTGTCAATCCCACTGTGCACGCTCAAGGAAGTTTCTTTCCTTCCCATTGCCTGAATCCATCATCTGCACCGATCCCAGTGTAGGGTGCCAGGTGGGAGCTGGTCTGCAAGGGGAGCCAGTTCAAAAACCAGCTCCCTTTGTGGACCAGCTGCCTGTTGCCTCTGATAAAAAGGCAACCACGCGTCTAAGGGGGGAGGGGAGGTGGGGTTCTGAGTTCCTGGACCCGATGCAAGCCAGAACTGAGCCAGGCTTGCTAACAAATTCACTGGCAAGAGTGGGAGGAGGGAAATGTGTGGCATCTATAGCATTAACCTACAAGCTTTTGCTTATCAGTTAATCAACTACACTATTACAACCCTAGTGCACAGATGAGCAATTTGAAGACATGTGAAGCAATAAATTCTGATTGGCTCACTAGAAGTTTTAGTTTTTAATCTCCAATTATGTAATAATGGAACTGATTTTTCACCACCTATGCTGTGCTTTGTAACAGTGAGAATTGCATATTGCTATTGGGTCTGTTTCAAGTGGCCACACTGGAATG